AAAGAAAAAAAGAAAACCCATCCTGACCCCAGAGTCCATTGTGTTGACTGTACGCCTCTGTGGACAACACTCAAGGAGGGTCACGAGACCCAAATGGCCAAATTCGTTGCTTAGAACTGGTACTAAAAGCATGCCCAGGTGGCCGAGACCCTGGCTTTGACGCTTGCCAGTCTTGGGAAAGGGTCCGGGCTGCCTCTCCGTCTGTGAGATGGGTGTGACAATGTCACTGGTCCCACAGGATCATTCTGAGGGTCAAATGCGGTCACATCTGCCCATGCACAGCTCGTCTAGCATGAGCCCCTGTGCCCACTGGACCCTGGACCATGCAGCTCTGAGAAAATAACTAAGGGAGTCGTGGCCCATCCCTGACCTTTGTGGGGGCTTCACTGCTTTGCAAACTTGGGGGAGGTGTGACTTCATTTCAAACACGTTGCACTGTGAAAAGAGAGGTGTGGGCTGGGTGACCCCCCACGCTTGCTCTGTGTACTGCGGGCGCAGGGCTGCAGGAAACTTACCACTGCAGAGATGTTTTCATGGTATTGCTTGTAGGTGTAGCCATCGTGCATCATGATGGTGGCCAGGGCTTCTAGAACTGAGGCACTGAGGTAAAACAGGGCGGCCACACAGTGGTAGGCTGCATCCTGTGGGTGAGAAGGGCTGTGTCAGGGAGGAGAAGAAAGAGACACCCCAACCCAGACATGGAGACACAGTCCTTGAATTCCCTGCTTCCGTCCTTGTCCCTGACCATTCCCTTTGAACCACACCACAGCCCCAAGTCCACCAGCTTCTCTCAGAGGATTTGATGGCTGCCCAGTTAACTTTCCTTTCCCTGGGCAGGTCCCACGCTGAGTCTTTTAGTGGAAGAAGATGCTGTTTTCCCTGAGGTACTACCAAGGGAGAGTTTGGGGGTGTGTGCTGGCTACTCTTCATTATTAACTTGACACAAGATTAGAATCTTCTCAGAGAGACACCTCCGGGTGTGTCCTGGAGGAGGGTGTTTCTCCAGAGGCTTTAACTGAGGCTGGCTGACTCACCCTGAATATGAGTGGCACCATCCCATGGGCTGGGGTCCCAGACTGAATAAGGAAGAGGAAGCTGGCCGAGCACAAGCGTCCGCCCTTCTGCTTTCTGATTACTGGCCCATGTGATTAGCGCCTTACCTCTTCTGCAGCTAACCCTTCCCCACCAAAACGACTGTACCCACAAACTGTGAGGTATTTTTTCAATAGCATCAAGAAACATAACAAATACAAGATAACGGGTAGAAACTGGTTCTGGACCCCAAGATCAATTACACATGGTCACAGCCCTGGCTTGCACGTAGGCTCTTTGTCCAGTCTAGGGGGAGAGAGGCCTGGGCCATTTCCATTGTTTCCATTTCGTTGTGTTGGTCTTATTTATTTCTTTTGGCTCCTGGCATATTTCAAAGCAAAAAGGAACTGAAAACAAAGTTCTGTGTGGTTGAAGTGATTTCAAAAGTTCAAGTAGAAGTAGAGATCTAGCCAAGTGGCCTGAGCCCACTTTTAATTAATAATAAGCAAGTTCCCCTTGTATTTATTTGAGGCCTGTCTCCTGGGCCTCAAAGCAGAACTTAGTACAAAAGAAAGAACACAGGCCATTTTTGGCATCTGAGTCTTCTGGGAAGCGTACTTAGATGGGAGTCACCAAGGAGCCAGGCAGAAAGCGTGGTCTGGCCCCTAGGGAGCCATCAGCGTAGGCCCAGCCTCCAGGACTCTGCTCCCCAGGATGCCAACAGCCCTCCTGGATGGTGGGAGCACCTGATGGCTGTCAGGTGGGAGGATGGGGACGGGCTGCTGGTTGTGTTTGAAAAAGTCAATCGCAGATAAGAAATCAGAGCGCCCCATGAGAATCTGCAGCAAAAACATGGATCCAGCTTCTTCTTTCTGACGTCCTCAGTGCGGGAAGCCATTATCGCTAGGAGGCGTCTGAACCAAGGCCAGGCCAATTCAGCTTTGGGTGGTGTTGGAAAATGTTGCCAGGAAGCTCCCATTCAGGGCTGGAAAAGTAGTCTTCCAGTGATGAGGGTCCAACACCACTCCTCTCCCCGCACACAGATTCCCTGGGCCAGCACTCACCAGTGTGATCCAGGACGTCTCACCGCCATGAGTACCAATTATGTACATGACCATCAGGGAAGTGGTGGCCACGAAGCAGAACACAGACACGAACATCACCCAGCCCTGGATCAGGGCGATGGGCACCAAGGAGGAGGCGATCAGGATCCAGACCAGGCCTCCGAAGATCTGCAGGGAGGAGGCAGAGAGAGCGTTGGAACAGGGGCAGTAGGGCTCCAGTAGATGTACCGGAAGGGTACAAAGAGGGTGGGCGTGCGCCTCGGCAAAAATATCCCTTTTATCCTCCAAGGCCGCAGGCTAGAGCTTTCATCTCACTTTTGCTGTTGCCTGCTGGCTTACTTTGATTCATTTCTTAAGTGCAATTTTTATTTTCTATTTAATAAACACTGTATTGCCCCTGGGTATTGTCTTAAGCACCTCACAAATACTGTTAACTCGGCTAACTCCAGTAGTAGAGCTATGGGTGAGGAATGGATTCATTTGTCAAATGGGGTAACTGAGGCATGTGAAAGCAAAGGAGCTCATCATTGGAAGAACTTCTATTAGTCGGTATTAGCATTAGAAGGGCTACCCTTTCTTTTGAGTGTCTGTTCTTCTCAATTGGTCTCCAGTGCCAGTGCTGGGGAGGCAGAGGTAGGAAGATGGCAAGTTCAAGGCCAGCCTAGGCTACACAGTAAGTTTTAGGCCAGCCTAAACTGCACTATGAGACCCTGTATCAAAATATCACGAGCTGGAGATGTAGCTGAGTGGTAGAGGTCACTTGTCTAGCCCCTGCAAGGGCCTGGGTTCAATCCCCAACAACAGAAAAAAAAGCTTGTAGCAATTAAGAGATTTTTTATAGGTTATTAATGAGTGAACACACTAGCTACATTATGTTATTGACTTTTTTTTTCCAGACCCGAAGTCTTAGATCCCAACTGTAGGAACTTTTCTGACTGTCTAAAATGAAATTGGAATGGAGAGGTCACAGGTTAGCCTTGTTTCTCAGATGACTGAAAACCAATGTGAGAGGAGCACACTCCAGGGATAGCCAAGAGATGTCTCCAGGGTTGGAGAGTTCCCGTTCTCAGAGGGAAACAAAAGAGGTTCCAGAAGGTTCCTGGATGGTCCAGCCACACCAGCCTCACTGGGGTTTTCTCTACTTCTCTCTGGCTCTTTGGCTCAAGCTTCATGACCCTGTCCCAGGCAGATGAGGACGGGGCTGGGACCTGGGGGAGATAGTTCTGCAATCATAAGTCTGGAAAGCTGTGTAATAGAGCAGGACCCTTCCTTCTGAGCGGCTGGGGCTGAGGGCAGGCAGCATTCCCTTGTGCTGCAGGTTGAACGGCACCTGCTTCTAGGAGGCATGAGAGTACAGCACGGAGAAATGCCAAGGTCAGTCAGGTCTGTCCATCTAGTCAGTAGAGATAAGCATCAGTGTGGGATAGTTCTCTCCTAAGTGCCCTTGGTCTGGGGTCTTGTCACCTTAACCACCTGGGGTCAATCTAAGTCAGGCTATTTGTCTGCATGCTGCAAGGGAGTCCTGTACATCTCTGCAGTCCTCGGCCCCCCAACATAAGGGCATCTGGCTAGAGGTAAAAGGCATTTTGTCTGATCAGGTGGTTGTAGGAGTGAAGTCTGCCTTGATCGCAGAAGCTGGCTCCCTGAGGGGATGCCATGAGAACCCATCTGCCCCATCTTCTACCCAGCCATCCTCTACCCAGTCATCTTCCATCCAGGATGGTTAAATGGCTGTGCTAAACTAGAGTGACTTATGAATAAAAACCACTCTGGAAGCAGCTTGGGTTGCTCATGTGTGTGGAAGCACTCTTCTGTAAAATCTGTGTGGGCTCCTGTGGGCCAGAAGTGCTTATGGGTATCTCATAGGCTTGGCCTTGAAGGACACTGGGTGCCACAGAAGAAAGTATGCCTCTTCTAGTCCAATCCATTCTGATTCCTGCCAAAGAGCTGAGTGGACCGAGACATTTCAGAATTCCCTCAGAGCACAGCCAGCAAAGGTAGACCAGGTAATGATTATGTTTTATGTTTACCGTGGCTATATCATTACTTTTAGGGCAAGCAATGGCCACCTGCAAATGGCAGACTTCGAAATGGTTTTCAGTTCCGGGTCTGCAGAAGTATGGGCTGTGTTTTATGCATCTTCTATTACTTCTTTAAAATCTGTTGTCTCCCATGGGGCTGGACACAGGAACTGTGGTCAGGGGTCAAGGGTGGGGCAGCAATGGGCGTATCAGAGTGAAATGACGCAGGGTTTGCCAAGGTCTTCCTAGATGCTAGCATTGAGCTGACTCTGAGCTTCTGGCGCCTACTTGACTGAATTGGGCTGTGTGAGTGAGTGATTTCATCACTCTGCTGGAGACCGTGCTCTGGCTTCCCCTCCCTGTCCCTGGACACACATACAGACACACACACACACACACACACACACACACAGAGAGAGAGAGAGAGACAGACAGACAGACAGACAGAGAGACAGAGAGACAGAGAGAGAGACAGAGAGAGACAGAGAGAGAGACAGGGAGAGAGAGACAGGGAGAGAGAGACAGGGAGAGAGAGAGACAGAGAGAGAGAGACTGATTCCTGGTGGTCCAGTCAGAACCCTTGTTCACAACTGTCCAATGAACAAAACCCATCCTGCACCCCAGTCCAGCCTCCAGCCCCTGACAGCCCTCAGGACTCAGGACCTGCCTCTGGGTATGCCACCTAGCAAACTGGCACTGTTGAAAATTAGTTGTTCCCCCTACCCTTTGAATGGCAGAGACAGCGGGAGGTTCCACAGCGAAAGTTCTCTGTTTGCCTCCCTCCCTCCCTCCCTCCCTTTCTCTCTGTTCAGTTTTTAAGACAGGGTCTCTCACTGTAGCCCAGGCTAGCCTGGGACTAAGTAATGTCAATTGGCCTCCAACTCATGTCAATCCTCCTGTCTCCACTTCCTGAGTGTTGGGATTACAGGTTCCAATCATCATGACCAGCTCTCCTTAAAACATTGTTAATGAGCCAGGTGGTGGTGGCACACACCTTTAACCCCAGCACTTGGGAGGCAGAGGCAGGTGGATCTCTGTGAGTTCGAGGCCTGCCTGGTCTACAGAGTGAGATCCAGGAGAGCCAGGGCTACACAGAGAAACCCTGTCTCGAAAAACAAAAGAACAAAACAACAACCAAACAAACAAATAAAACCCACAGCAAGAAAAAACCCAAACCAATCAACCAAACAAACAAATAAAACCATTGTTAATGAGATGCACCTCACACATAGTATAATGCATGCACTGAAGACCATGCTTCAGGGGTGTTTAATAGACCTATACATACAAACTACCATCACCAAAGCCAACTTTAGATCACTTTCACAAACTCAAAACTCTATAATCACTAGCCAATTATGATCATATTTAGCATAATTAGATTTCAAGGTGAATACTTCTCTTCTAGGGGTACCTCTGGAAAACAGCTGTACTGCCACAATCCCCATCAGTCCCTTGTGAGGTACCAATACCTAGGATGAGTTGGCTGTGGTGATGATGGGGTGTATCTGTGAACTTATCAAACACCATCGGGCTTTATTAAACACCTGGGGGCATTCCTCCATCCGCCTCCTGTTTACGTTACACCTCAGACTGGGGGCAGAGAACTTTGAAGACATCATTACAAGCCCTGGCGTTTGCCTTCCTGTCTGGCAGTAGGTCTTCCCGCTATTCCTCAAGGCTGCATTGTTCCAGGATGGAGCCAGGATGGGGGTGGGGAGGAATCTGTGAGGGCGGCTGAGTAGGGGCAGAGGGACTATGAGGAGGTGGCTTAAAGGCTCACAGCCCCACTGAGAAGGCAAGGAGGATGGGGAGGGAACGTGAGGGGGACAGGACCAAGGAGAGAGTGTATTTCCAGATGGTGCCTGTGAAAAGGCTTCGCCACCAGGGACTTTCCGCTTTGGAGAGCGGCCCTTTGATCACATCAGTTCCAAGCTCCTCATTGACAGCTGCAGCCACTGTGGGGGCCTGAAGGCTTCCACATCCGTGGGTTTAACCAATTACAGATTAAAAAATGTTTAGAAAATCCAGGCATGGTGGTGGATACCTGTAACACCAGCACTCAGGAGGCCGAGGAAGGCTTATGAGTTTGAGAGCAGGCTGAACTACAGAGTGAGACCCTGACTCTAAAATTACAATGAAAATATCTGGGGAAAAACAGAACAAAACAAAACAAAACCTGTATCTGAACTGGACGCAGCTTAGGCTACTTTTTTCTGGCCTAAATGAAGGCTAAATGCAGGCTCTGAGGAGGTGAGGTAGCTGGCCTGGGACATGGCTTCAGTGGTGCCTTGGAGGGGAAGATGGACTCCGCTGGTTACGGCTGGTTCTCTGGAGGCGGAGGGAGAGTATGTCACAAGAAGGGATGCTGTAGCAGTTTTCAGGGCTCCAGAGGGTGGGGAAGCCAGGCACCATGTAGGAGAAGGGGGTGGCAGAAGCCGGGCTGGAGGAAGGGTGAGCCGTGGAGACCTGATATTCAGCATGAATCATGGGGGCCCAAGCCTGTTTGCACCCCACTCCACCTTTAGGCTGCACGGAGGGCAAACAGAGAGAGACAGCGTGGCACCCACGCCCGGGAGATAAGGCACTCCTGGGCAGTGAGCAGTCCTCTCAGGCCTGGCTTCAGGATCCCACTAGCCAAATATTTGTCAAGAGCAAGGGGGTAGGTGAGGGTTCAAGAGCATTTCCCTTTGTCATGAAAACTCTAGATGTCTTTCAGCTTTCTGTCTTCAGACACACAGAGGTGATTATCAAAAAAAGAAAACATTATACAACCAGGCGGAGGTGCAGCCCTGGTGTCTGCTCACGTGAAAGCCAGGCTCCCCCATTACCACCTCTGCTCCATCATAGCAGAGGCAGAGCAGCTGCCGACAGTGGTCTCAAGTAAAGCTCTCCAAGTTGCTGACCTGGGAGTTACATGGATTGACCAGTCCCTCTGGGTCCCAGCGCTCCAAGCTGGAAAGTGGGGATAGAACCTGGGTTGATGCTCTAGCCATCAAATGAGCTAGGACACCTTTAAAAATCAAACAACGACATCCCGGCCCAGGCCCAGGGTCAGAATCAACTGGAGAGAGGCAGAACTGTGGGACAGGAAACAGAGAACCCGGACCCTTTGCCAAAGGCTGGAAACATGTTTTCATAACATGA